ACTTTTGATTTACCATTTCATTTTACATAATAATAACATATGAATTCAATTTGACAGCTAAAATCAACAGATACGTTAAGTCAGCTACCAAGTTCCATCATTCATGCTCATCTAAAATGAACAATGTGTTCGATAACAATAATGATTAATAGTTGAAACATACTAGAGGTTATGCTCTGCATCATAAAGACATATGGAGCAAGTTAACAACAATATTTGTAGAAAACTTACATACAGGATTATACATGTCTTCAGTGATTCCCAGTTCTAAAAGTACTGACTGCAGCAATCGTGGTATATAGCGGAGAAGAAAAAATCCCAATCCAAGCTAAAACAATGACAAAAACCATATGTGAGAAGAATCAAAAGAGAACATAGGCATACATATTGATGCAAGCGTATGGAAATAAACCCACCATAGATGATATAAACAATAGCCAGTGAGTTCTTCCGACCAGTTGGGAGAAGCTTCATTCCCTATCAAACATAAGAATATTAATCATATCATATATTAAAGCACAACAGACAACCGTGAGTGCAAATTGAGGAAATTTCAGGTATTCATCAACCAAATTATTTACCTGAAACAGGACCATCAATACCACAAGGATGACCCCAATCGCCATTGCGCTGCTGTAGTAAAATACTAAAGACTTGCTTAGGGTATATGCCACACTCCACAACAAAATGCCCGTTATTAAAAAGATTATACGATATGGGAAAAATTATGCCAAAAAGAAGAAGAAAAATGAAGAAATGGTAAATGAACAAAGGAACAGGGTAGATAAACAAGTTCCAATTGCCAATACATAGAGCAACAAGGGTAGAAGGATCACAAACTTACCTTCTTCAATAGACACTTCAAGGGTTTGCGTTGATGAACTAGTCATCCTTATATCTAAGAGCTTGTGATTGAAAGGAGACATTGGTTTAGCCCATAAACCGTTTGAAACCTTCTCCCACTTGCCCTGAGGGCACATCCCTATCCCAAGTGAAGCATTCCTACAAAACTAAAATATCAGTCTTATGCCAAAATTGCTTTACAATCCGAAATAAGGTTTATGTTAGTATTCAGCCAAAATCTCTGAATTCAACAAAGTATTCATATGAAACCGCTTACCTATGGCAGCAAACTTCAACACTAGGTCTGCGTAGGTTGGAATTCCCTTGTGAAACCTTCAACTTGAATGAATGAGCAAATTTCCTGAGATTCCTAAACCTAGACAAACCATCAATGTAAATTCTTTCACAAACAACTTTAGTTCCGGGCTTTAAACCAGGGGACTTTTCCACTTGTATGCCAGGAATTAACTGCAATGTCTTATTAAACTCTCCAACAGCTGCAAAAATAAGCGAACAACAAAAAAAAATCAAAATTTAAGAATTTTCCGCTATTAAGACATTATTACGAGCAATTGAAATAAATATGAAAATCATAGAAACCCAACTAGCTAAACTGACAAGAAATTTAAACTTTTTATTCATTGTTCCCTTAATTCGATCAAATTATTATTATTTAACCACTAAAAGTGAAAAGAAAACCCTAATTCATAGAATTTAGAGCGTTAACATAAAAAGGAAAAGGAAAAAAAAGTAAGAAAAAGAAGGGAGAGAGCACCCAAAGAAGGCTTGTCGGCAGATGCGAGGGTGGAAAAACTTGGAACAACGACGAAGATAAGGTAGAGAAGCAAAGCGGAGGTCCGGTCCAGTTTCCCGGTACCCATTGTTGAGCCGGGAGTTGAGAGATTGAGGAAAGCATAGGCACAGATTTGGAAAAAAAAACCCATTGCTGGTGGAAGAAGATCAACCCGTCTTCTAATGGCGGTTAAATTTTGGGCTTATGCTGGGCTCACCATCAGCCAATACGTCCAATCTTCAACAACAAAACGAAAAGGATAAATTAAATTAGAGCCCAACAAATATAAATTAATCAAGGTGTTTTTAGTAGGCTTTATTAACAAATTACCTTATAAATTAGAATTTCTTTTTAATTTGGTACTTAAAGGTTTTTTTCCTCAAAATATTACATCTATTTTTTTTACCCAAGCTAGCACTTTTGTCATTATATATCCTGATGCGGGAAATGAGAGTTTTTTAGTTTTTTTTTAATTAAGTTTGTGAAGATTGGCTTTTTTATGATATATTTTCATTCTTTATGTAATATTAAAAGCAACAATTTAGAGCGTGTTGTTATATTAAAATTAAAACTATTTATTCATGCACACATTAATTTTTTTGGCGATCCTTTTAGGGGTTGTTTTTATTTTGAAACTAAAATGGATTTTTATTGGAAGTTATGATTTTGGTTTTCATATTAAATAAAATGGAAATGAATATTGCGTTGCGTGATTTTGGAATGAGAGATATTATTGGGTTGTCGGAAATCAAAAAATAACTTCCAAACGAATTAAGAAGCGCCCATTAAAATTAACTCCTTAAATCTCAATTCTACAAAATAAATGTTTTTGAACTTTTAATTCATTCCTTAAGAAAAGAAAAACATAATGAAGTTAGAATGAACCTTAAAAAAGTTAAAATGTAAATAATCATAAAACAGTGTTACATTTTAATTATTAAATCTTTATTTTAATGTTTAAAAAATTATAATCGATATTTAATTTTTCGTCGTCGTGATCATCAACAACTTAAAAGAGAAAGTGAAAATTTTACGTTCTCAATAGTAAGATTTATCATCATCATCTTCATATTACAATTTTATAATAAATAGCAGTAATTTTATATAAGTATATTTCTTCTTTGTAATAAAAAAACAATAATTTTATAAAAGTATACTTTTTCTTTGTAATAACATCAACTCTCTCTGTATATAACACTTAGATTGTCTTTGTATTTATATATTTGTAAAGTTCTAATATATTATTTTATTTATTTTCTTATCAGATCAATTCACAATTTATTATTGTTATATGTTAGAGGTTTATAGTATATATTATATTTAATATTGTTTAAATCCTAGTAATATTTCATTGTTAATTTATGAAATATATCTAAATAACTAGAAGACGCGAGTAATTACATTGTTATGCAATTACATTTTTAGAGTAGATGGCAAACTTGTTGAATTGGAAGTTTGACCTAGAAGAGAATTGGAGGAGAGTATTGATGAGGAGTTAATCTGGAAGCGGAAATCTAAGTCAATTTGGCTTTTGCTTGATAACAGAAATATCAAATATTTTCGGGCTGGACATTGACTTGGAGATGATAGAAATGGCTGATTGGCTATATCCCGAATATCTGATGGTTTGTGGTGTGCTTGGAATGATGTTCTGAGAGCAGCCTTCTGCATCTAAACACTCTGTCTCAGAAAAAAAATCATATATTGAGATTCGAAGTTCATTAATACATATATTTACACAGTAACATCTCAATGCTGTGATGAAGATGTTCATCTCCTTGACGACAATAGTATGATTTGGTTAACTGTTTGAGAGGCAGATTCAAGAACTGGACCTTACTAAAACGAATCGGCTGAGCAATGACGGTGGGGGTAACAAAATGTTGGAAGTTGGAGCTCCGAATACGGGGCCCGGTGCCAGACAGTCACATGACGGAGGCCCATAGCAATGGCTTGAATCGTCACTGTGTCTGCAGGTACCCCTTACAAATGTCATCCTCACTCGGTATCAGTACTGCAGAATTGGGTACCACTTGCAGTTTCAAGCTCATAATCATCTTCACACATTCACAATAATGAAATACGTTGCAGAAACCCAAAAATTAAACCAATTTTTATTTTAAATAAAATAGAATCGCTTCGGGAATTTTGTTTGAATTATCTATTTGCCGGTTGCCACCTATTTCAGATGCGTTCCTAAAGATAGAATATAACAAATAATTAATATTTTGTCAATAATTTTAAGATATACGGCAATTCAAGCTAATCAACCCCAATTTATACGTTGCAGTAACCTAAGCCTCAAACCTGCACAAGTTCCACTTTATTTTATCTTTTTGTTTGTTTGATTTTGTGTCCATTTTCTTCTAATCAGATCAGAGAGAGAGAGAGAGAGAGAAAATGCAAAATAAAGCGTCCTCGAATCACGTGCATGCTCATATCATCTCTTATTTTGTTCATAATAAAGTTTTAAGCAGTGAGGACAAAGATAACAATTACATATACCTAAAAACAATTACAATTGGTTTTAAATAGGCTAAAATTACCTATATAGTTATTTTTATACTTTTATTTTGATCATGTAATTATTATTTTTTAAATTATATTTATTGTTATATATTTTTATTTTGATATCATATCATTGAATGAATTAAAATAAATAAGATATTTTAAAATAAATTAAAAAAAATAACATCAACTGTTTATTCCGATTTTAACAATTCTAATAGATAATAAATATAAATGAACGAACGTATCTTTATCGTGGCGGTAAATGAATCTAAACAACATGAACGTAATCAAAAGAGCGTAGAATAGACGAGGATGAGGTGTGTTCTTCCTTGGAGTCGGGGAAAGTTTTCCAACAGCTACCCTTATCAGTCTGTAATCTATTGGTAAGTCTGATGATGAGATTATTCCAGTTCACTCGAGACACTGCAGAAGCTCCAACTGGAATTTACCATAGTTTCTTCTAGTTGTATTTTTTTTCTTATTTTAAAAAACTATAATATAATGGGAAAACATCTAAAAAAGACTTTTTGACAAAATCTTTCCAGTGTTTAACTTCCAGTAAGTACAAAACTCATCGGACAATTAAATATTGGCCCCCAAAGAAAAAACAGACAATTAACGGAAATAACGGACAATTAGTTTAACGTGGATTCCTAGTTCACTCTAAACTGTCGGCACTGGTTTCACGTGCCAAACTCCAACGTGTCGTTTAAATGTTTGTCATCTCTGTTATAGCGCGCGCATTTTAGCATCCCCGGCGCAACCAAACCGACGCCCTTCACTTGTAAAGCAAAAACCAAACACACTTTAAAACAATGTCCCGGTCTCTGTTTCTTCTTTAATTACCCAACCATACTTGGAGGGCATCCTGTTTTTTTCTTTGAAAAAAAAAGCCTTTCGAAACGAATGTCCTGAACGACCGACCAAACACATAAACCTCAAGACCCGGTTCTCTTAAATTCTAAAATTTTTAAGAAATGGTGTCCCCTGAGTTTTCTCATCCTCAATCTTCTTCTCCCATGGCCAAACCTCGGAACCGATCGTTTTGGTGTCTTACCGACGGCTTTCTTGTCCTTGGTAGTGTTTTTCTTGCTCTTCTATTAGTAGGATCGTTTTGGTCGTTTTTCACTCCAACACCAAACATCGAATCCCACGTAACCCAGCCATCGTCGAAGTTGAAGAGCTCAATGGACTGCTCGGAAAGTGGGTTCGGAATTAACTTAAAATCGGACCCGAAAGATCCGACCTTTTACGACGATCCGGAGATGAGTTACTCCATTGAAAAGCCGGTGAAAGATTGGGATGAAAAACGCCAAGAGTGGTTGAAGTATCACCCTTCATTCGCCGCCGGAGCACGTGAAAGAATCGTTCTTCTGACTGGGTCGCAGCCAAAGCCATGTAAGAATCCCACTGGAGATCATTTACTCTTGCGTTTCTTCAAGAACAAGGCTGATTATTGTAGAATTCATGGCTACGACATTTTTTACAACAATTTGTTATTACACCCCAAAATGGGTTCCTTTTGGGCAAAGTTACCGGTCGTTAAAGCAGCCATGTTGGCTCACCCTGAAGCTGAGTGGATCTGGTGGGTTGACTCGGACGCATTGTTCACAGACATGGAGTTCAAGTTACCTTTAGAAAGGTACAAAAACCACAACTTGGTTGTTCATGGTTGGCCTAAGTTGATTTACGACAGTAAAAGTTGGACCAGTTTAAATGCTGGGGTTTTTCTGATTAGGAATTGCCAGTGGTCTATGGATTTGATTAATACTTGGTCTAGCATGGGTCCAATTAGTAAGGATCATGAAAAGTGGGGTCAGATTCAACGATCAACGTTCAAAGACAAGCTTTTCCCGGATTCAGATGATCAATCGGCTCTGATTTATTTGCTTTACACAGAGAAAGAGAAATATTATGACCATATTTATTTAGAAGGAGAGTTTTATTTGGAAGGGTATTGGGTTGAGATTATCGGAGGGTACGAAAACACAACAGAAAGGTATTTGGAAATCGAGAGAGGGGCACCAAAGTTAAGGAGGAGACATGCTGAGAAAGTGAGTGAGCAATACGCTGCGTTTAGGGAAGAGTTCCTCAAGGACGCTGGGAACGGGAGAGGAAGTTGGAGGAGACCGTTGATCACTCATTTCACCGGTTGTCAGCCTTGTAGCGGCGACTATAATCAGATGTACGCCGGGGAGTCTTGTTGGAAAGGGATGGTCAAAGCTTTGAACTTTGCTGATAATCAGGTGTTGCGCAAGTATGGGTTCATGCACCCGGATCTACTTGATTCCTCCACTGTCACTGAAGTCCCCTTTGATTACCCCGCTGATGAAGGTCCATGGTAAAACAAAACAGAACATCAAAAGGAATGGCTTTTTCAGTATTTTATTACCATGTAAAAGTGTTTGTTTGCTTTTATTTCTTTACCGTGTAAAAACTTCTTTTGTTAAGCAAAGAAGAGAATAGCTGCAGTGAATCAAGGCGCGAATTTTGCAGCATTCATGGCAGGACTCCGCTCGTCCTTTCTGGTTTATAAGGTAATCGAGAAATATATAGTTGCAAACGAATATTGTCCTTAAACTAGAGTCACCATCAAGCAGCAGTTCTATTGGAAGTGATAGTTTTGCTACTGAGAGTGCCATGTATTGATTTTGAGTAATATAATATATAAAGATATTCATTATAGCTATATAAATTGGTCGAATAACAGCACTTTTGTTATGATTTTGTAGCATGAAACCTTAATCACATGCATGAATGGTGTGGAGTTCTTTGCCTTTAATCATATAGGTTGTTGAGAAATCCATCTAGTAAACATGGCAAAACATTCCTTGGGATTGTATTCCGAAGGCGTATGACCTGCTCCCTGCAAAAATCCAAACTCATTTTCTTCAAAAAGTATGCAAATTAAATAACATTTTCATTCACAACTATTTGCAATCTTGCCTTTACAGTTGCAAATGTCAAGCCATTTGCGTATTCTCTCGAGTATCTGCAAAAACCAAAGGATCGAAAAATAAATAAATAAGCTCTTATACATGCGTGAGACAAAATCCATTATAGTCATAGGCTTACCCTCCAACTTGACCATCAACAAACCATGGCCTCCAGTCATCGACAATAGAGAGATCCAGGGACTTGATCCATGATTCAGTTCCCGCGTAAGGAAAACTAGGTCATGATCACCACTGTATATAAATTAAGATTCAGTAGTAGCTTTCATACACATACGAAATAGGAGTAAGCAAGCAAAAGTGTAACCTGTATATTAGAGCTCGATAACCTCTTGTATTGAGACGAAGATGATAGCTTATAACACTCGGAACATCATAGTCATAATCCATGCTCATGTTACATCTTACCCATTCGTTGATTGTTCCCTGGTATTCAACATCAACATTACATTAAATTAACTCAGCTATGTTGTTTTTGTTGTTGGTGTAAAGCTTCAATTCTTACCTTGTGTGGAGTGCTTTCTGGACGTTGACATCACTTGCCCAAATTTTCATAAGGTAACAATAATAGCTCTGTTATATGGCTTAATCAATCAGCAGCTCAATCATCAAATCAAAGTTAATACATTTATGGAGTGGCATATAGCAAGTGCAGAAAATTTACTCGACATCCAAATTGAGGGTATCCAGTTGACATATGCAAGAAATCCTTGTATGTTTCTAAAAGATATTTTAGGTTATTCTCCAAGATCCCCACTTCTGAAAATTCGGATGGGCATTTAGGCTCCAAGATATGCACATTTTTATGCATGCAGTGCACTAGAAAAGCAAAAACCATAACTGTTATTAATCTATTCTAGTCAACAGAGAGAAAGATTTCAGGAATTACCAAAAAATGATCCTACAAGAAACAGGTTCATTTGCTTATCTACCTCTGAGATAGCCTGAAGATCACTTGCACACCTTTCGTTGCTGGCTTGAACATATTCTTCTTTGCAATTGCTGTTGGCTGACTTCAGAACGAAAGAATTCTCATGACCATATACATAGTTCCCATATACTCCATATCAGAAGCATTAGAAGAAGGGAATAACCTCGTAACGTTCATCAGAGAAGAGTGCCATTCGATTGTAATATGGAATCTTTGAGTTGCCTTCAAACATCCCATCTGCATATGGATTCCCAGGAAAATAACCCTGAAACAATTGCTGGAAATGTTGTAACATTCTGGAATCTAGAAACCCACATTTGTAAAATGAATTTTTTTTTGAAGGGCAAGAAGTCATAGTCGTCAAGAATTTGATAGAAGAGCATGTACTTTGAGATTTACAACTGGAATGCCTTTGTCTTCATTATCTGAAGCAGAATGAATAACCTGGTTATTGCCCCAGTAACAATATATACAAAATACAAGTCTTAAGCAGACAAACATGTAGCTACCATCTGATATCGCTTGAGCAATTATAGGTACAATCATGCCAGAGTACGAGCCATCGCCAATATAAAGTGGATTAGTGATGAACTCGGGATGACTCTGCAGCCACTGAACAGAAAATAATTATTGGTTATATAAGGAGTTCGTGGGGACAACTCTGAACTTGAAAAAATTTATTGATGTTTTTGATTTAATTATGTACAAGAGATTTTAGCGGCTGAGATCTGTCTATACCTTCCTCAAAAAATTATAACAACTAATAGCATGTTTCATATCCCCAGTCTTGAAACCTTGCGGCGTCCTTGAATAAGAGAATCTGGTACCAACCGGAGCATCTAAGATGATTATACTTGAAACCTATAAAGTTATCTATGATTTTCACAAATCAAATATCAGCAAATGGACATAAGAGGCGGAGTATTACTATATGGTTTATGGCAATTAATCCTAAACGATATCACCTTGGTCCACGCATACTGGTTCAGGAAAGAAGTAGGTAAGCTGCCATTATACTCCACCATGTTAAAACGCAAGGGGCCTAAATTAGCACCGTATCACATATTAGTGCACTGATTGCAGGATGTCCTAGGCTGGAAATGAAGAAACAGATTACCTATTTCAAAGAAAAATCCAGAAAGACTAGAGCGGCCAGGGCCTCCAGTTATCCACAGCAAGAGAGGATCCTCTCCTGGGTTCCTTTCAGATTCAGTAAAATAGTAAAACTCCACATATCTGATTAAATTAACTAACCCGTTATGACCAGTGCTATGAGTTTAAGAAATGAAATCTTTGTTACCCAGAATCAGGTTTCATATGTTTCATATTGGAGAATGTGACAGGTACAATGATTAAAGGACAAGATTTGCAGAAGTGTCAGAGAAGGTTACCCGGTTTCAAGCTTGATAGGAAGTGTTGTATTAAATCCTAGAAGAGAATTGACCACTGAAAATGAAACTGCTGGCCACATCAAATCATTGCAAGCACCAGTAATAAAAGCATACGACCTTCGAATGTTTTACCAACATCTTTGCACCTCTTCACCTCAACAACTAAGCTAAATCTTCTTTCAAATCTGAAGTCTTAATTCTGTACTTCTGACCTAATTTTTCTAATCATATAAATAAAGCGTCATTTTATGTAGGAGAAAATTTAAGGGGTGTTTGCTTCACGGAATTTAAATTATCGTTGGGAATAAGATTACGGGATGTAATGTTATTCTGGAAATATTGTATTACCTTGTTTGATTTGTTTTGCATGAATATAAGATTACAATGTTTGATCGGAAAATATAAGATTACTTGATTATATATTTTACCAATTTATCATTGTGATATATGTTTCTTAACAAGTTAAATTTTAATATTAAATTATAAATATTTGAATGAAATTTTATAAAAATATTTTAATTGTTACACTAGCTGAGTTTAAAGAAAAAAATACATTTAACATATAATTAATGCAATTAGTATATCAAACCTATACTTTTAAATAATTTTCATAAATATCATATTTATTTACATAAAATATATAATATGAAAAATAATATAAAAATATCATATTTATTTACATAAAAATAAGTTTCATAAATATCATACTTTTGAATATATATTTAATTTATAGATATAATTTAAATATTTATAAAATAATTATATGTTGTTTCTTTTTTCTTTTTTTTAAATATAATTAATTCCTTTCGAACTTAGATCATGACTTCGTCCTTGCATTAAAAAACAAAATCAGATTAAACAAGGAAACAAACAAACGCTGTAAAATCTAATACACAAATACAATTGAACGCCATGTTGAATGATGTGGTAATGCAATAAACCATTTGACATATGACATGGTAGCTAGGATCGAGTATTCGTTCGAATCAAGTAAAAAATTAAGTTATTCAAGTTGATGAGTCGTATTTTATGATTCAAATTTAATTTAATTTTTTTCGAGTCGAGTTGTTCGAGTTCTTGTACAAATTTAATTGTAATTATTTATAATATTATGATACGAATTGATTTCAATTTTTTGATTTTCTCTAACTACATATATATATATATATTGTTGTTTAATAAATCGAATACAATCTGAAATTATATTATTATTTTTTGACTCTAGTGTTATTGGCGCTAAAGTGAGTTAGCAAATTGTGTGCTCCTTAAATTCTGAAGGTGGATTGGGACTATAGGATATTAAATGTTGGAATAACGCTTATATTTTGCAGCTCATGCTGAAACTGCTTGCAGATGAGGGCTCCCTTTGAGTGGCTTGGGTCCATTCTTATGTGCTCAAAGGTGCTAATTTCCAACTCTCTGACTGTAAAATTAATGCTAGCTGAAGCTTGAGGAAACTGTTCAAATTAAGAGAACAGGCTGCCCCCATCCTTGCTTCTGTCTCGAGCGAGCAGCAGGTAAGTGCCACTTGGATTTGGGGTAAGATTAGGAGGAAACTTTTTCATGTTTCTTGGGAAAAATTAATCTGATTTCTATGTATATTTTTAAGCATTTTATCATTGTATGGTTGGTTATTCTTGATAGACTTAGTACAAAGGATAGGCTGTTAATTTATATTCCCCCAAATTTTCAGTTCTTCAAGTGACTCGAAATTTAAATTTTTTTAACTCAAACTCAAAATCTAAGTGGATAATTTAAATTGATTTGAAAAAATTAATATTAAAAAAAAATCGATTATTCAACTTTTGCTCATCCCAGTGATTGTGTCACATTGTTAATTTGTGACTAAACTAAATATTTTGATAATTGAGCCATGAAATTCAAAACCTTCAATAATTGATTGACCATGGGTGGACTTTTTACATAAAATCAAGATTATATCTAGTTGTTTCTCCTTGCTTCTGGCGATAAGATTATTCTGTAGTTTAATTTCTTACACAAATGTTGACATTTTCTTATATAATATAATGAGACTCAAGCGATGCTTTGAAACATTTAAGACTCAAATCTTTACAAGTCATTTTACAATTAAATCTATAATTTATTAGTAATTTTCATTATTTATTATAAGGATGATTTTCAGAAATCTTGATTTAATGAATTTAATTAATGTTTAAATATATTTTTTGTAGTTTTAAATAATTTTTATTATACCCTTTTGATTATTTTAGTTTTGCGATATATTATTGATCTATTTTTTATATTATCATTGTTAAGTTTTTCTAGGCATAGGAACATTGAAAGTAGCTAAATAGTTATACGTTACATTATACAAAGCTGAAATCTTGAAAGTAAAATTCTAATTACAGATAAGGTGACATTTCTTTGAGTACTTCCCGGCCATTGTACTAGAGTGCTCGAAGCACTTGAACAAAACAAAGATAAAGCTTCTCCAGGGCTTGTCAGCAAACTTGGTCGACTATCACGGGGTTCAGCTACACCAATTCCATCATATCTTGATGATTTGATATAATAGATCTTGGGTTTAGATTTTATATTTAGTAAGATTTGGTTCTAACATATAGTCGTTTTCAGGAGATTTCAGTCAAGATCTTTTCTTCTGCAGCAGCTTCCTCCTACTGATCACATGGACAAACGCTGAAAGTTAAAGCATTTTAGTCTACTCCAAAATGGGTCCAATTCTTACTCGCCATCTGCATTTATATCAGAAATACGTGAATTTATTTATCAAGACAGTCTCAACTTTTACATTCCATTTGCATAAGTTTAAATAATTAACATTTAGCAATTCACATGTAGCAATTAATCACAGAGGTTGTTGAGAAATCCATCTACTGAACATGGCAAAACATTCTTTGGGATTGTACTCTGGAGTTGTATGACCTGCTCCCTGCAAGAAACCAAAATTCCATTTCATGTAATTTTCTTCGAAAATTCTGTGTCAATTAAATAATTAACATTTTCATTCACAACTATCTGCACTCTTGCCTTGACAGTTGCAAATGTGAAGTCATTTCCGTATTTTCTCGAGTATCTGTAAGAATCAAAACATCAGAAAATAAGTATGCTCATACACATAAGAGAGCAAAATCCAATTATAGCCTTACCCTCCAACTTGACCATCATCAAACCATGGCCTCCAATCATCAACAATAGAGAGATTCAGGGATTTGATCCATGATTCGGTTCCGATGTAAGGAACAGCTAGGTCATGATCCCCACTATAAAGAAATTAAGTGTTATGAATTAGGATTGTTGTAAAGAAAATGAAAGATTTCAGAAAGAAAGAAAGAGAGAGAGATACAGAAAACGTGTGATTTCATTCATGATTTTCTTAGAATTTCAAGTACAACTTATATATTCACAAGTACCTACAGCTGTAATTCTGCCAGCAAATCTAACAAACTAACGACTCATTTGCTGATTCACAGGATATCTCCAAGTGGGCTCACGTGCTGGCCTGTTTCCTTCACTTCACTCTGATCTGGGTCATTACTTGACTGGGCCCATTTGGCTGAAGGTTTAATGATATCAGCCTGCTCCTGCAATCCACCCCATTCCTTTCGACGCCTCAACCCTAAATCCCTCAGGTAACAACTAATCCCTAATTCCTTTTCATTTTCCAATTTCAGCCGATTTTCCCCCTTTTTCCTTCCTCGATTACTCCCCAATTCCCTCTGATCAAACCCTAATCTCCCTTCCATCATAACAATACCCCCTCCACCAGATGATCCTTGTCCCCAAGGATCGAAATCAGGAAACTGATTTTTCAACACCGTATAATCTTCCCAAGTAGCATCATCTGTTCCCATATTTGTCCATTGTATAAGGAACTGCCTGACCCGCTGATTTTGTCTAGTAATCTCTCGTGAATTCAAGACTACGGCTGGGTAAATCTTCAATTGCCCATCAGAAGACGTTTCTGGAGGATTCAGCGAGATAAGTCCTGATTTCCCTATTTTCTTTTTCAAACATGAAACACTGGATGTAATTTTGATTCTGGTGGCAATTCCAGTCGATATGCAACCTGACCAATTTTTTTCTGTATTTTGTAGGGACCAAAAAATCGAGCAGCAAGCTTCAGGTTTCTCCTTAAAGCGAGTGATGTTTGTCTGTAAGGCTGTAATTTTAGGTAAACTTCCTCTCCCGCCTGAAAATCCCTCTCTGTACGATGTTTATCAATAATCTGCTTCATTCTATTATTGGCTTGCATGAGTTGTTCACGTAGCAAAGCATTGAATTGCTCTCTGTCTTGCATCATAGTTTGAACTGCATCCACTCTAGAATCCCCTGACCAGCTTAACACAGGAGTCTTATAACCATATAAGGCTTCAAATGGGGTCACTTTTATAGCAGAGTGGTAATTAGTGTTATACCACCATTCTGCTTGGGCTAACCACTTAGACCAAGATGTAGGTTTTAAAAAACACATACTTCTGAGATACTGTTCTAAGCATTGGTTGAGTCTCTCAGTTTGTCCATCTGTCTCTGGATGATAGGTAGTACTGAAAAGTGTAGTTATCCCCAACTGCTTAAATAACTCTTGCCAGAATAGACTAGTAAAGGACTTGTCTCTATCAGAAATAGCCACCTTAGGAGGACCATGAAGCTTATAAACCTGATCCAAATATATCTTAGCCACATGCACCACTGTGTAGGGATGTGACAGTGGCATAAAATGAGCATACTTAGTAAATTTATCAATCACCACTAGAATACAGTTGTGCTTTGTTGAAGGTGGCAACCCTTCAATAAAATCCATTGTTATAACCTCCCAAACATTGTGTGGAATTGGAATAGGTTGTAGTAGTCCTGGTTTGGAAATGTGCTCACTTTTAGTTCTCTGGCATACCTCACATTGCTGTATATGTTCCTGAATCAGAAGCTTCATCTTTGGCCAAAAAAAAATAAGCTTTAATCCTCTGTTAAGTAGCTTGAATGCCTGAATGACCCCCTTGTGGTGAATCATGGGAAGCCACAATAATTTTCTGTCTTAGATCTCCCTTGCTGCCCACATAAATTCTGTTTTTAAAGTATAACACTCCTTTCCTTCTCTTCCAATCCTCATTCTTGTCAAGTTGAATAAGTAAAATAGGAAGTTCTTCTTGAGCTAATATGTCTCCTTCATAACTTTGCTCAATATCTTGCATCCAAGTAGAAACAATAACAGTAACCCCCATTTGCAAAAAACTCACCAGAATCCATTTGCTGTCTAGAAAGTGCATCTGCCACCTTGTTTGTTTTGCCTTTCCTGAACTGGATTGTATAATCCAACCCCAATAATTTAGTAAGACCTTTCTTCTGAATAGTAGTAGTCAGCTTTTGCTCTAATAAGTGTTTTAGAGGCTCATGATCTGTTTTAATTACAAATGAACCACTCTCCAAATAATGTCTCCAGTGTGATACTGCCATTAGGATAGCCAAGTATTCCTTCTCATAGATAGAAAGGTCTGCATGTTTTGGTCCCAAAGCCTTACTTAATTAAGCTATAGGCCTTCCTCCTTGAGACAAAACAACCCCAATTCCTTTGGAACTAGCATCAGTTTCCAAAATAAATTTCTGGTCAAAATTAGGTAAAGCCAAAACTGGAGCTGCACACATTACCCTTTTTAATTTTTCAAATGCCAATTTAGCTTCTGCAGACCAATGAAATCCATCCTTCTTCAACATATTGGTCAAGGGTTTACTCAATTCTCCATACCCTTTGATAAATTTTCTATAATACCCTGTCAAACCCAAAAATCCTCTCAAAGCTTTCAGATTTTTAGGTAAAGGCCACTGTTGCATAGCCTTTATTTTTTCAGGATCAGTTACCACCCCTTTAGATGAAATTAAATGTCCCAAATACTCTACTTGTTTTTGGCCAAAAAAGCATTTATTCCTCTTGGCATACAACTTGTTTTTCAACAGAATTTCCAGCACCAGCCTTAAATGGTTTTTATGTTCTGCCATACTAGGACTGTAAATCAGAATATCATCAAAAAACACAAGAACAAGCCTCCTCAAATATGCTGCAAACAAGTCATTCATCAAAGCTTGAAAAGTAGCTGAGGTATTAGTAAGGCCAAAAGACATAACTTTAAATTCATAATGCCCTTGATGAGTTCTAAAAGAAGTTTTATGAACATCCTCATCTTTAATTCTAATTTGCCAATAACCAGATCTCAAATCAATCTTGGAAAAGAATGCAGCTCCATGTAATTCATCTAATAAGTCTTCTACTATAGGAATAGGGAATTTATTCTTAACTGTATAAGAGTTAAGTTGCCTATAGTCCACACAAAACCTCCAAGTTCCATCTTTTTTTCTAATAAGTAAGCAAGGAGAAGCAAAAGGACTCTTACTTACTTGTATGATAGATGAGGATAGCATATGAGCAATCTGTTTTTCCACCTCAGTCTTGTGATGATGAGCAAATCTATAGGGTCTTAGATTGACTGGTTGTGTTCCCTGTTTAAGAACAATAGCATGATCATGTTTTCTCATGTTTTCTGCTAGGAGGCATTCCCTCAGGTTCCTCAAACACCTTCTTAAACTCCTCTAGTAATTCTTGTAAGGATAGATGAATTATGCTTTCCTCTATTTCAGCATTCAACAAATAAATTTCTCCATTTACTTCAGTATCTTTTGCAACTAACTTCTGAAATTTTTCTCCGGAAATTGGTTTGACTAGTGGCCATTTCTGAGTCCCTCGAATTAGAACAGTCTGTCCATCCTTTTCAAAACTAATTGTTTTAGCCTTAAAATCCATCATTATAGGACTAAACTCTTCCATCCAGTCCACCCCCAGTACCATATCACTGCCCCCTAAAGACAAAACTCTGAAATCATGCTGAAATTCATAGCCTTGCATCTTCCAAGTCACCATATTGCTTCTGGCAGTACTGAACAATTTTTCTCCATTAGCGACTGTAATAACCAATGGCTGAGTTTGAACTAATTCTACTCCTTCTTTGGCCCACTTAGGTGTCACAAAACTATGGGTGCTGTCATTATCAATCAACACATTAAGTGGTTTCCCTCTAATAAAACCTTGAATTCGTAAGGTAGTGTGCCCTACATTCCCTGTAATAGCATTGATAGAAATTTCCAAGGCTTCCTTGGCTACATCATTCCCTTCTCCAACTTCATCTTCTGTCAATTCCTGATCAACAGAATCTTCTTCTTCTTCCATACTGTTCAACTGTCTAACCTTGCACTGATGTCCAGGAACAAATTTATCCCCACATTTAAAGCATAAATTATTTGCTCTTCTATAATCCAGTAAACTCTGCTTGGTATTAGTATTAGGAGGAATTGTCTTAGGCTGAAAACCTTTAGTCCCACTGATTGGTTGACTACTTGCAGAAGTATAAGGAAAAAATTTTTTGAGAAAATTTAGACTTCTTTCCTTCTATCTCATTAGCCAACTCATAAAGTTTGGCCTGCCTAAAAGCTTCAGACAAATTTCTAGGCTCCAACACTTTCACCTTATGTTTTAATTCCTCCTTGAGGCCACTAATGAAACTGGAAACAAAATAATCCTCCCCTAAATACATATGTTGTTGTAGTAAATAGGGTCTTAACTCCTCAAACTTTTCTTGATACTCTTCTACACTACCCTTCTGCATCAACTTATTAAATTCTTCAATGATATCTGAATAGTTTCTGTCACAAAATCTATGGCACAAATCAGCCTCAAATTCATGCCAAGTCACTCTATGCTTCTGCATAATATAGCCATCAAACCAAGTCTCAGCCTTTCCCATTAAATACATTGCAGCCACATCCAATTTTTGATCCTCAGGAATTCCCAAGAGATTAAAATATTTTTGGCATTTTCTAACCCATCCTCTAGGATTATTACCATCAAACATCTGCAGTTCTAATTTAGGACGAGGTAAAATAGGCTCTAAACTCCCAAACGACCCTTTACTGTCCACTTTCACCTCACTAGAACTGCCCCTAACATTTTCTTCCTGCAATGTCTGATTCATGGGTAGAGTACCAGTAAACCCCATAGGTTTAGAAGCTAATACTCCTGGTTTATTAGGTTGAAAAGTATACTTCTCATGCTCACTAAGAACCGTAATCAAACAGGGTTGTTTACCTCCATTTTTGTCTTGTTTCTCAGCTGCTTTTGCTTGATTCTTCACTGACTGAGGTGAATCTTTCTCCTCAGCTGCTTGATTGACCAGCTGTAGGATCATCTGCAAATACCCTCTGTTCTCCGTCATTCCATCCTCCAATGCTTGAATCCTTCCTTCTAGCTCTTCCTTCTGTCTTGTCCACCAAGAAGGTAAAGTCTCCTCCTTAACCTCCACTACTGATTGTTCTGGTACTTCTGTGATTCCAGTTTTTTTCATTTTTCTTGTCTTTCCCAGCGTGAAAAATTGATTTTTGGATCACTAAAAGACTCAGCTCTGATTACCAATTGTTATGAATTAGGATTGTTGTAAAGAAAATGAAAGATTTCAGAAAGAAAGAAAGAGAGAGAGATACAGAAAACGTGTGATTTCATTCATGATTTTCTTAGAATTTCAGGTACAACTTATATATTCACAAGTACCTACAGCTGTAATTCTGCCAGCAAATCTAACAAACTAACGACTCATTTGCTGATTCACAGGATATCTCCAAGTGGGCTCACGTGCTGGCCTGTTTCCTTCACTTCACTCTGATCTGGGTCATTACTTGACTGGGACCATTTGGCTGAAGGTTTAATGATATCAGCCAGCTCCTGCAATCCACCCCACCCCATTCCTTTCGACGCCTCAACCCTAAATCCCTCAGGTAACAACTCAATCCCTAATTCCTTTTCATTTTCCAATTTCAGCCCATTTCCCCCTTTTTCCTTCCTCGATTACTCCCCAAATCCCTCTGATCAAACCCTAATCTCCCTTCCATCATAACATTAAGGTTCAGTACTAGCTTTCATATACATAAGAAATAGGAGTAGGCAAGCAAAGGTGTAACCTGTATATTAGAGCTCGGTAACCTCTTTTATTGAGATGAAGATGATAGCTTAGAGTACTCTGAACAGCATTGTCATAATCCATGCTCCTGTTACATCTTACCCATTCTTTGATTGTTCCCTGGTATTCAACATCAACATTACATTAAATTTTAACTCACTTATGTTATTTGTTTTTGTTGTTGGTGTAAAACTTCAATTCTTACCTTTCTGGTATGGAGTGCTTCCTGGACACTGATATCACTTGCCCAAACTTTCAAAAGGTAACAATAATAGTTCTGTAATACGGCTTAATCAATCAGCATCTCAATTATCTAAAAGAAGTTAATGCATTTATGGAGTGAGTGACAGATAAAGCAAGTGCAGGAAAATTTACGCGACATCCAAATTGAGGGTATCCAGCTGACATATGCAGGTAATCTTCATATGTTTCTAAAAAGTATTTACGCTTATTCTCCAAAACATCCACTTCTGGAAACTCAGATGGGCAGTAAGGCTCCAAGATATGCATCTCGTTTATACGTGCAGTGCACTAGAAAACCAAAACCCAAAACTGTTATTAAACACAGCAAGATTTGAGGAATTACAAAAAATTACCCTATAAAAAACAGGTTTGTTTGCATTTCTACCTCTGAGATAGCCTGAAGATCATTTGCACACCTTTGATTTCTGCCTTCTACCTTTGAGTATTCTCCTTTACAATTCTTTTTGGCTGACTGCAAAACCAAAAATATTCTCAGTAACATCAGCACACGTATATACAATTTCCTTGAAGAATCATTTAGACTTAAAGTGATCATTTGTTTATGCTACTTCATATCAGAAGCATTAGAAGAAGAGGTTTGTGTCCAATAACCTCGTAAAGTTCATCAGAGATAAATGCCATACGATTACAATATGGAATCTTTGAGTTGAAATCAAAATTTCTGTCTGTATATGGATTACCAAGCAAATAACCCTGCAAAAATTGCTAGAAATGTTGTAGCACCCGGAATCCAAAATGAAAGAAATTTCAAAAGCCAAATTAGTCATTAAGTAGAGCACTTACTTTTAGATTCAATGTCAGCATGCCTTGGTCTTCAATATCTGAAGCAGAATGAGTAACCTGGTTATTCCCCATTGATTAACAATACATATGAATTACAAGTCTTACAGGGTAGAACAAGTAGTTACCATCTGATATTGCTTGAGTAATTATAGGTATAATCATGCCCGAGTACGAGTCGCCGGCAATATAAAGTGGATTGGTGAGGAACTTAGGATGGCTCTCCAACCACTGAACACAAAATCATACTGTTGGTTATAAAAGCATTAATGTTTTTGCAGTAAGAACTATATAGCTATATTTAAGCACAGAGGATATTAGCAGTTGAGATTTGTCTACACCTTCCTCAAAAAGTTATAACAACTAATAGCATGTTTCATATCCCCAGTCTTGAAACCTTGCGGCATCCTTGAATAAGAGAATCCGGTACCAACCGGGGCATCTAAGAAGATTATACTTGAAACCTATGAAGTTATCAATGGTTTTCACAAATCAAATATCAGCAGATGGACATAAGAGGCGGAGTATTACTATATGGTTTATAGCAATTAGTCCTAAACGATATCACCTTGGTCCATGCATACTGGTTAAGGAAAAAAGTAGGTAAGCTGCCATTGTACTCCACCATGTTAAAACGCAAGGGGCCTAAATTAGCACCGTATCACCTATTAGTGCACTGATAGCAGGATGCCCTAGGCTGGAAATGAACAAAGAGATTACCTATTTCAAAGAAAAATCCAGAAAGACTGGAGCAGCCAGGGCCTCCAGTTATCCACAGCAAGAGAGGATCCTCTGCTGGGTTCCTTTCAGATTCGGTAAAATAGTAGAAAAACTCCACATCATCCACCCCTATATACCTGATACGCGTTAAATTAACTTACCTGTTATGACCAGTGCTATGAGTTTAAGAAATGGAATTTGTGTTAACCAGAATCAGGTTTCATACGTATTCATATTGGAGAATGTGAAAGGTACAAAGCTTAAGGAAAAGATTAGCAGAAAGCTCAGAGAAGCTTACCCGGTTTCAAGCTTGAAAGGAAGCGGAGCATTAAATCCAGGAAGAGAGTTGATCACTGAAAATGAAACTGCAGGGGTACACCAACTCATTACAATCACCATGTAATATAAGCATACGAACTTCGAATGTTTTACCAACATCTTTGCCCCTCTTCAGCTCAACAACTAAGCTAAATCTTCTTTCAAATCTGAAGTCTTAATTCTGTACTTCTGACCTAATTTTTCTAATCATATAAATAAAGCCTCATTTTATGTCGGAGATAATTTAAGGGATGTCCGTTGGGAATAAGATTACGGGATTGTAATATTATTCTGAAAATATTGTATTACCTTATTTTATAGTAAAATAAAGCCTATTTTTCTATAGGATAAAATTTAAGGATAAAGTACACAAATAGTCCTTTATCTATAGGGTGCTGTTTTGTTGACTTACAATTATTAAAATTTACAAAATGGTCACGTAACAATTCATATATTTCAAATTCGTTTTTTTTGTTAAAAAATGACGACAATTTGAGTTGGACGTTAACCTGCTAACTGAAACATGATAAAGTTCTTCCTTTCCCTTGTCTTTAAGCTTGCTTGGGGTGCCCGGATCTACTTTATTTGGAGGGAGAGAAACTATAGGTTGTTTCGTGGATAGTATAGGGAAAGAGATGATATGTGTGTATTATTCGAAAAAGTATTAAGATTAATTTTCTTAATAACTGTATAGATAGAGCCGATTTTATAAACGCCCGATTATGTAGAGCTTGAGATATTTTAGACTAAAGAATTGGTGTTAGGCTTTGTTAGAATGTAGCAGCTTGATTGTTTCTCTTTTGGATATAATGCATGTAACTTTTTCTAGAGAATAAAATATTTTATAGTTGAATAATCATTTTTGTAACTTTTAATAATTGAGAGGCTTAACAAAACAACATTTTATAGTATGGATACTATTTATGTACTTTAACCAAAATTTAAATAAATAGTAAATTTTAAATTAATAAACCTTTAACATATTAAAATTTTAAATTTTATCCATCTTTGTTTGACTTCGGTAGGAATTTAGACAAATTAATATACTCGGTAAAATTATAACTTTAGTCCTCCTTATTATCTCGATTTGTTACTTCAATCCTACAAATTTGACTTTTTGGATGCTTTTCCCGGATTCATATGATCAGTTGGCTCTGATTTATTTTCTTTACACAGAGAAGGAGAAATATTATGACCATATTTATTTAGAAGGAGAGTTTTATTTGGAAGGGTATTGGATTGAGATTATTGGAGAGTACGAAAACACAACATAAATGTATTTGGAAATGGAGAGAGGGCACCAAAGTTGAGGAGACATGTTGACAAAGTGAGTGAGCACTACGTTGCCTTTAGGCGAGAGCTCCTCAAGGATGCTGAGAATGGGGAGGAAGTTGGGGAAGATCATTATTGGATGCTTTGCACTATTGACAATGGCGACGAGATTTGTATATCTATTATTGGATGTTTTATGATATTACGTTTTATGATGATATACGTGTTCATAATTATATTTATTTTTAAAGATACTAAACATACTATGTGAATAATATGATAAGTGGATTTGATTTGTCATCCAAACTATTATTATGTTAATGACTTTCTCATTAAGTTATATGAGTTTATTTTGTGTGTTTTGATGTTTTCATGACATTACTCTATGTAGTGGATCAAGATTGTATTTAAGGATTATGAGTCATCAGTTTTGATAAGTGAATTTCTTTCTTTGAAACTCCTAGAATGATGATTATATATGTAAATCTGATATTGTTATTCATGTTGTTATAGTGTATGTTTTGCATTACTATATAATATGGTATTACTTATTTGGGATAGAATTAATTCAATTACAATATCGATAGCAATAATAAATGAACTTAAAATTTATAATGTAGTCCCTAATGTTGTATGATCTCATTGAACCCAAAAGCAATTTAAATCAATTAAATTAACTTCTAAATGTACGATTGAACAACTGCTAAGGGAGATTGGTGTAAAGGTTGATGGAAAACCTATTGACTGGTGTGATAACACATCCACCGTATCTATAGCAGCAAATCCTACGCATCATGCTAGGATGAAACATGTTGACATCGATTTGCATTTTATCAGAGAAAAGAGTGCTTGCTGGACGGCTTCTGGTTAATTTCGTTGTCATCGATCTAGAGTAAGTGATTAAAAAATATTTCTTAAAAATTGATTAATTTTAGGCAACGATTTGAAGTTTGAGACTTGAATCTTTATGTCATTTTACAATTAAATCTATAATTTAGTAGTAATCTTCGTTATTTACTATAAGGATGGTTTCCTTGTATAAAATTTGTTTAAAAAGATGGTAAACATCAACCAAGTCCGACCTAAATATATAGGATTCAAACACACAAAATATATATCTAGAAACCTCTTCTGCACCTTTTTCCTCACAAACACAAATTTAAGGCACGTTTTGTGCTTGTAACAGCATAGCTCCTGCTTCTTGGGAAAACATCAGTCTTGACCTCGAACTCATCTTCTTCAAACTCACAAGACTTGACTTCATCAATCCGACAATTACAACATTGTGATTTCCAGTTTTCGGAGACTGCCTTGCCTGCTGTGGTTTAAGATTGTCCAGCTGAACCATGTTGTTGCCTAAACTGCTTGTTGAAGCGGCACTGATGAGTTCCTTCCAGTTATCATCACTGCTTCTTGGTCTCGTCGAGTAGACACTACGGCTCCTGGTCAAAGTATTAAGTTGGCCTGTAGGGCAACCGATGACTGAGCCGTATCCAATCTGATTCGAGTATTCTGTCATGCTTTTTATGTATAAATCTCTGGCTTTGATCAGAATCTTCACCGGTGCCTTCAGATATCTGCTTACTTTGCTGCCCTTTTTGCTCATATTGCTGTTTGGCTACAAAGAAAACAAGAGAAAAAAACGATTCTTGGAAGGATAGAACAATTAGGTTGATTGGAAATTATAAATGAACCAGAATGCAGAGTTGGTTAAAAGGGATTTATAAAGGAGAGGTGCCTGTGCGCTATAACTGCAGGGGACGACCCAATCTACATATTAAACCTGGACTTACTTGGTGCTACTATAAGGTTTGCATAAATTATAATAATTTATATAATTGGTGATGTTTTATGTATAGATTATAATCAAACCTTATATAGTAAACCTGGATTGAGTTGGTGCTACTATGTATTAATACATTGAAGTTAAAATGTTGTTCCAATGATATTTAGTTCTTCGATTTATTCAAGCATCATGTTTCTAAATCAGGTTATTAGTTTCTTCTATAAAAATATACTGAGATAAAACCTAAATTTCAATAAGGAAATGATTAATAATTTCAAATTTCATTCGGTCTAAACCCATTTTTCCTTTTCTAAATTGCACATCAACTTCAATTGAAATCACAAAAGGGCATCAAACTACTGAAAGACCACAATAAATCGTAAATTAGACTCAAGCGACATGAAAAGCTATTCACAAATGAATAACGGGTATCCAAATCCACTATGATGGTCCAAAGCAGGAAATATCAGCAATATAACATATAAACACCATCTTGATCAGTCATGACGATGTCAAATCAACTCTTAAAGAAAGATAAGTGAAAACAACGATCAAACGGCTGAAAAATGTGTCAAAAGACAAAAGAAAACGTGTTATAAAGCAATATGAAAATGTGTCGTACATGCAGGCTCATTGAAAATTGAAAAAAAAATATATATAATATAAAAAATAAAAGGACAATAAAAATATCAATGATAAATAATCAACAATAAAATTGATATTGCGATCGATCAACATAGATAAAAAAAGATATAAATGATTTATCAATGAGATAAAAATTGGAAAGAAAAAAAAAACTCTCTGTATTGGTAGCATATGCTCATGTGATTCCCTAATGTTTTTAGGTTTTTTGAAAACTTAGATTTAAAATTCATTTGAAACCCCTTTCTTGATTTCCCCCCACTTGAAGAAGGTCGAAAGCAATCAATAAAATATAATATTTGTTGGATAAAGTAATTGAAATAAATACCGGATATCTCACCCACCATCTTTAATATACAGCCACAAAGCATATGAATCCAAAACAAAATGCCTGTCCATCCTTAATAACCAATTAATCTAAAATCTTTTAATATATCTTTATTATAATTCAATGTAGACCTAAATTCATTATATTCATTTAGAAAAGATTTGAGCAACCGAGACCAACTAATTCTGTGAAATCTTCACTACGCAATGTTCAAACCTTAATTACATACCATACATGATATAATAGTATAGATTTGTTTCTAAATTTTGACCCGGTTCAAAAAATTGATTTGATTTGATTAACTTTGATCAAATTTAATTAAATTTGAATTAATCATAAAAATTTAATAATTTCAAACTCGCCCAATCTAACCATAAAATTGGCCTAATCTAAAATTGACCCAAATAAATAATTCAAAACAATTTAAACTCAAATTAAATATAATTAAACTTATAAGTAGTAAATTATAATTATAATTTTCTATTAACATACAACATTGAATTTCAACTTGAAGGTTTCAAGAGTAGAGGAAGTTGATATTATTGTTTATAAGTTATTATTATTATAATTTTACAGATTTTACATCTAATCTTAATCTTAGTTAGAGGGATGAGAAAAGGGATTCAAGGGGAAAGGAGAGTACTCTTATTGCGTTTAAAATTCATAACCTAAATGAATATAAGAGAATAAATATGAACAACTTGACCAACTGACAAAATATACTTATTCAGTTAAATCAAATTTTTGGTTGTAAAAAAAATAAGTATACGAATATCATAATTTAAGATTAAAGTTTTAATACAATTAACTCAATATCAAAATTGATTCAATCAAATTGAATTTTATCAATTGTCTCACTTCAGTTGGTTAAAGTTAAATTAGTTGTAATTATTTTTTCATTACTATATTGTAATGAAACCAATTGATTCATACAAAATACTTATTTACATGTTAAATCATAAAAAATCGTGTATAAAAATTATTCAAGTATAATTAATTTTAATGGTTAAATAAGAAATAAATCATTAAAAATTATAAATAACTAAATTTAATAATACTCGATACAAAACAATCTATACATTAAATTAAAACTAAAATATCTGAACATTAAATTTTTATAACCTGAAATGATCCAAACTTCAGCATAACATAAAATCAAACTAAAATTAATTTGAACTATAAGTCAACCCAGAAGTTTTAAATTTGTACTAAAATGACATAAAATCGAACCAACTAATTCAATTAACATGTCTATAGGTAAATGATATCAACATAAAATAGTAATGCACAATACATACCTAAGAAAATAATTTAAGATCGAATCTTAAAGTTTAAATTATTTATTATAAATTTTGAAAATTGATAGTAAAACAAACATAAAAAAGAAAAAGCCTTAAAACAAATTAAAATACGAGGAGTATTTTAAAATACAACAGCTTTGATTAATCTTAAGAGTTAATTGCATCACATGTTCTTAAACTATAATCTTTATTTTAGATTAATCCTTAAACTTTTGAATATTCTAATTTCATCCCCAAACTATGACTCCCATTCTAAACTAGTCCTTAAACTTTTAAATATTATAATTTCATCCCAAAATTCATCCAAATATGTAATTAGTTTCAACCTTAGTTCAACCTAAAATTTGTTTTTTTCCTTAAACATATAATAATATAATTTGGCCTAACGACTTTATTAACAATGAATGTGATTAGTACATGTGTATAGTTTGGGATGAAATTGGAATATTAAAAAAGTTTGGGGACCAATTTAGAATGAATGTCATAGTTTTGGGGATGCAATTGGAATGTTTAAAAATTTGAGGACTAATTTAAAATAACTATCATAGTTTAGGGATGAAAATAAAATATTTAAAAATTTATGCACCAATTTAAAATGAAAATCATACTTTGAGAACATGTAATTCAATTAACTCATAAGTTAAAACATACTGATACAAATCCATATCGACATAAAAAAATAGACAATGCTGCAATTAATTAAATTGCGCTGTACACGCACTACGACGTTTTTTTTCAATAAATCACCAGTTATCGATATATTTATCGATCTAACTTCGATCAGATTATATTTTCCGATCTAACACCTGTAGCAGTAAAGCGCGCCCCCCGAACCGTGTTATACGTTGATTTGGCGCCACGTGGGTATAGTGCGCCCCCTGTCCCGTGATATACGGTGATTTGGCGCCACGTAGGTATAGCGCGCCCCCTGATCCGTGCTATACCTAAGTATCTGACACGTGGGGTATATCGCGGTGCAAGGGGCGCGCTATACCCCTAAATACTCGCCCCTCCACACCCCAATCCTCCCTATAAATACCCCCATCCTCAATCACTTTTATCACACCAAATTCTCTCAAATACTCTCCATTTTAAAGATATATTTTATAATATTTTTACTATTATGTATATAATTTATTTAAGTATTTTATTTTATTTAATATTTTACTAATATAATTCTTTTGCAGATATATAATGAAAGGCAGTCTACTTCGCTCGGATGAAAATCATATATCTCTACACTTTGCTGATACGGTAACATTTTAACGTGTTAATTTAATTTAAATTATTAGTAATATTTAGTTTATTTATTTAATGCATGATTATTAGATTAAAAATTAAATATCTCAACATGATACGGTAATATTTTAACGTTTTAATTTAATTTAAATTATTAGTAATAATTAGTTGATTTATTTAATGCATGATTATTAGATTAAGAATTAAATATCTCGACACTTTGCTGATACGGTAACATTTTAACGTTTTAATTTAATTTAAATTGTTAGTAATAATTAGTTGATTTATTTAATGTATGATTATTAGATTAAGAATTAATTTTTGTAATTATTTATTTTTAGGAGAATGACCGTGTATTAGATCCTTTTATTAGGAATCTTAAGTTAGTGATACCCAGCCGTGTCTTGCCGTATTTAGTAGAGACTGGATTCGGTTACATAGGTAGATATCAGGGTCACTGTAAGATAGAGCCAGACCTGATTTCTGCCTTAGTAGAGCGGTGGAGGCTGGGGACCCACACATTCCATCTTTCGTGCGGAGAGTGTACGATCACGCTTGAGGATGTTTCTATGCACCTGGGGCTTCCGGTGGATGGAGATGTGATATCGGGGATAGCTTCCGGTTCTTGGACTACTTTGTGTCGGGATAATCTAGGACGTGTCCCGAAAAATTTTATCGGAGGTAGGATACCGTTAAATTGGTTAGATGCCAATTTTCGGGAGTTGAGCGCAGACGCCTCTGAGGATGAGGTTAAGATGTATGCACGGGCATGCATACTGCAGCTGATAGGAGGGTTGCTGATGCCGGACAAATCGCACAACCTAGTTCACTGCATGTGGTTGCGACATCTTAGCGACTTTCGTCTCGCCTGATCATTCAGTTGTGGCTTGACAGTTTTGGCTTTGCTGTACAGGGAGATGTGTGGAGCCACTGACTACAGGCATAAAATTATTAGCGGATGTCTCCTGCTGATGCAGTCTTGGGCATGGTATCGATTGCCCTTTTTATGTCCCGTTGTGAAGAACCCATTCGTATTTCCACTACTTCTGAGGTAATTATAAAACTGATTTTGTATATTAATAATTTTATACAGCGTATAACAAATTTTTTTTCCTTGAATAGGAGGTCTATTGATAGGAAAAATCATCAAGAGCTACCTGATGATTTAGAAAAAATTAGGGTGCTAATCGATCAGAAGGCTGGGACACAGGTATGAATTTTAATGTTTAAAAATCGATTTTAGATTATAGTTATATAATTAGATTATTATTTTGATAAAAATTATATATTATTTGTTTTAGTTTGAATGGGTGCCATATTCTACTGATGATGTGAGAGCGG